TGCATGTGGTCCAACTGAAGATGCTTCCAATGTCATGCAGTGGTTCTTTGAGCAAGGATCTTTTTCCTATGGAATGTTCTGGCTTTGAAGATCCATCAAACATTCTCATATGAATGGTGGTAGAGGTGGTGTTTATACCATTATAACTTTTCACTGTGAGAAATAATAATGATTTCTACTATCTCCTTCGGATTATTTAAACAGCTACAAGAGTTCATAAGAGGAGTTCTCTTGTCATCTCAAAGTTGTCAAGAATCTTTGGAGAGGGACTTTGCCAGGAAAAATAAATATATATACTGAGTCATTCCTATGGTCAAAGAGCTCCAAATGACCAATAAGATAAGGCTAGAGGAAACAGATTTCCTGTACATCATGTTCCATTCTACATGCTTAATCATGTTATTAATCATGCATCCTTATTTTACAGCCAACATGAAGCCTGTTTTGAGTCAGTGTAGGCATAATGACCCATAAGCTGAAATGTGAGCAAAAGCTTCCATTCAGGAGCATATCAGAGTAGGGAGAAACATACTTATGGACTTGTGGCTTCTTCCTACAACAATAAACTAGTTTAGCATACTATCTAAATTCCTGCAGGCAAGATGAGCTAATAATATTAATTCCATATTGAATATTTACAAAAACAAATTAAAAAAAAACCGGTGTGAAAGACAGTGTTTCAGATCTTTCAAAGGAAAAGGTAGCTGAGATGTCTTTTCACCTTCTCCTCATAGAAATCGCCGAGATCATTCATTGCATATGACTAAATGAAACATGGTGAATTTCACAGATTCAAGGGGATCAGCAAACTGCTTTTGAGAAATTTGCAAGTAGAAGGAGTGATAGAGCAGATGTGCCCAAGGAATATGGTACCAGCTCCTGATCTTGAGTAGTAAAATTTTGAAGTTATTTCATTCAAGAGCTCAAGGGGGCATGCAGAGCAATCCTTCCCATTGTTCCCCAACAACAGTGCTATGAGGTAAGTTGGGCCAAGGGTGACTGTCCCAAAATCCTTCAGTGAAGTTCTATGGCTGCAGGTGGACAATGCCTGGGTTTCCCTAGTTCCAACCCACAACCTAACTACTACATAACATTGGCTTTCAATATATTACTCAGAGGTCACCTATCATCTTTGTTATCACTGGAACTTACCTTTAGAAAGATCTAGGTTTGTAGCCATAAACATATCTAACCATGATTACCTCTTCTTGTAGTCACAGTAATTTCTCTTGTCCTTCAATGTTCACACAGAGATCAATGTATTCGGGTTCAGTTGTATAGTTTCAGAATGTTAGAAGTGTTTCTGCTTGGTGGGAACAGCTGAGTTATGCAGCTATTTTGCAATCAACAAAGATGTCATTGGTGCAACTTCACCTAATTTATAAGAAGCCTGAATCTGTTGACCTTCTTGCAGAGGTCATTCTTTCCTCAGGTGTTTTTTTGGGGGGAGGGGGCAAATTAGAGTTTCCTAATGAAAAGTTTCAGATGTATAGCTTTTTTTTTTTTTGCTATTATTATTTCAGAGGAAGTTGGATTGTTTTTCAACTGTGACTTGTTTGCAGAATTCATTTTACTTCTATGAGTGTTGATTTATCTATAGATTTTTGCATAGTGCATAGTTTGACATTTTTAAAAACAGTGGCAGGATGCCTAAAGCTCTGGATATACTAAAAATTTATATAAATCAAAATAATCTTTATTAGCTTTTGTTAATTATCTTAACAATGAAAAATGAATACCTCCAAAAGAGGGCTTGTGTATCCTACTAAGATTTTTTTAATATTAAAGGTTACTGATTATTTGAACCAGTATAGATTATAGCCTTGTAATCACATAGTTCTCACCTTGCAACCCTTTGTTCAGTGACTAGTCAAAATTACAATGGCACTAAAAAAGTGGCCTAAAACTGGTTCTCACACTTACAGCCATCCAAGTATCCCCATCGTCCCATGATCAACAGCTGCCACATCCCAGGGACATGTGATCTCCATTTGCGACCTTCCCAGCCAGTTTACAACAAACAAAGTCAATGGTGGGAAGCCCAATTTGCTTAACAACCCCATGAATCACTTAACCACTGCAATGATTCCCTTAGTAATCATTACAATAAAAATAATAAAATGGGATGTAATTCATCTAACAATCACCTTGCTTAGTAATGGAAATTCTGGTCGCAGTTGTGGTTGTAAGTTGAGGACTACCAGTCCTTAAAGTATAGACTACCATACTTTAGAAGCAAGTATGGAACACATTGCCACTTACTTCTGAGTAAACAGGCACAAGATTGTGCTATACATTTATCTGAGAAGCTATGCATCTTTTGAGCCGTTGAACTCAGCATGTAACACAAAGATGAGAAAATTCTGATTACAAGAAAATGTAAACAGTCTCTCCAACTCCAACATGAGTTTAAGATTGGAGAAAGCAGTAGGTAGTTTCTAACCTCATCGTCCTATAATCAGGTAATTAGCTAATTTATGGTTCAGTGTGGCACACAAACATAATCATAGTGCTTAGGAGTCCTTGTTCAACCATGACAAGGTTCTTCATATTTTGAAATTGATGGAAAGGTCAGCTATCCACTTTGTATTTAGCATTCAGTCTATCTTCCCTATCCTAATGGATTGAATTAGATGCGTCAACCAGTATTGGCCATGCTGCTGGGAAATTCTGGGTGGTGCAGACCAACAAATTGGAAGGCAGGTGGACTGAATTAGGTATAACCAAATTCAAGGTGTCAAAATATGACTCACATATGGACTTAAGCAGAATTAGTTAAGCAGAATTAGTGGAGTAAAGCAGATATAATGGTAGAAATCAGAAGGAATTCTGCAACACTATAGAATAACAAAGTAACAGAGCTGGAAGAGAATAAGTTACAATGAAGTCAAATGATCTGACTTAGGCTATTAGTAATGTCTCAGATGATATCCGGTCTCCTGCTTGGAGTAGGAGGATGGAGATCTTCTAGTCCAATCCCCTACTCAAGCAGGAAACCTTATAGTATTTCAGATAGTACCACTAGCCTAATCATTTGACTTCATTGTAACTTATTCTTTTCATAAGTAGGGAAGTTGTTGTTAAAATTTGGTAGCCACCCAACTCCAAGGACTTTGGGCAGCTCACAGATAAATACATTACATACACACAAGTTTGACATTAAAAAAATAAAAGATAGCAAAGACCCTTCCCCCCCCCCAAAAAAAGCTAGACAGGGCTGAAGAAGAAACAAATCCACATCACCCAAAGGTTTTCACTCACCTTTGCCAAAAGCCTGACCAAGGAGCCAGGTCTTCTAATCTTACACTGAGTGCCAAGAAGTTAGTTTAAATTTACAGTATCATGGATTTCCATACACAGCTAGCCTCTCCTGTATACAGCTGAAATGCTTTAAATACTAATTTTGACCATACTTGTGACAATCAGGGACAAATTGCTCTTCTGAGTTCAAAACAAAGACCATCTGTCACTTTATGGAAGGGACTCAAAGATTGTCACTTATTTTCTTCTGAATATGGAACAAGGAAAAGAGAAACATCACTGCTTTAATTAAAGCCCCTTTTTGGAGTTGCTCTCCAAAAGCTGAAAAGTTCCCATTGCTCTTTCAGTCTTCCTGTGTTTGAAAGGAAGGTGCAAATAAATGCACAACAGGATTTCCTTGTTATCACGCTCTACACCTAGCTCTTCTTTAACCATGACAATCCCAAAGTAATAAAAACTACCCTGCCTCAGATTGACAGCTGCTCAATGGCCAGGAGAAGAAAGCACTCTGCATACGTTCAGAGGTCGCCTTTCTTTAACTCCAAAGTTTTCAAGGACTTTATAAAAAAAGACATTCGGCCAGGGGAAAGGAGCTAATCAAAGCAGGGATTTTTCTGCTGGAATACTCAGGTAGATATTTAACTTTTCATTTTTCAATTTTCAATCCAGGTGTTCAAACAAAGCAGTTGAAATATAACCCAAAGATTTGCTCAGGGATTTTCGCCACAGACACTGCTCTTTCCTGGACTATTGATTTTCATAGCAGTAAAAACCACAGGGAAAAGGACATTGACCTATGATACAAAGAGAAGAAGGGGGGCTTAAATCATTATTTCATCCGGCAGACTATGAAAAGAGTGTGAGGAAGAAATTGTCTGCCCCCCCCCCCCGACACAAAATCCAACTGGTTGCTGTGTCTACACTTGCCAGCGCGGAGACAAGGGTGGGGCCCAGCGGGCGACAATGCGCGGCCTTCTGGAATTTGCAGGGAGGGAGGAGAGCAATTAAACCGACCCGCCATCCCGACGCCCCTCCCTCGCTTCCCTGCCTCTGGGTTAAGCGTGCAGTTTCTCTGGCAGGCCTCTCTCCGGCGATACCGCAGGGGGCGATGTTTTCTCGTTGACTCCCCCCCCCTTTTTACGCCGTTTACGTGGGGACGGCTTTTCCACTCTCCCCCCCCCCCCACCTCCGCCCGCTGCCTTTTCAGTGCTACCGGCGTAGCTTTTTCTTCGCAACTGGGCGCGAAGAAGCCGGGAAGTTTCCGGTGCCGTTGCGGGGCACGGTTGCTGGCGGTGGGGTAGAAACTCTTCGGTGGCGTTTGCCTCGCCGCTGCCGCCGTTTCCTGCCCCGACCACCCCAGATGATATTATCAGAAGCATCTGGGCGGCTGTGCCCGATGAGCGTCTAGGTGGGGCGAGCAAAGCCAACCATCCCTTCTCCTATGGGAGATTTCCCGCCTCCTTCCTGGAAAAGTGACCCCGTGCCTGGGTGGGGGCTTTGCAGGAAACTTTGGGAAGTGACGGGGGCACCCCCCTTTCCTGCCCTTCCCCCCTTCCATTAAGACTCCGGCAGCATCTGGAGCGCCTGGTGCTGACTGTTCCTGGTGGGGCTGGTACTTCTGAGCGGGGGAAGCAGCTGCCGCCGAGCACAAAAAGAAGTCTGTCTTTGCTGTCTCTCCATCCCGCTCCCCCCTCCCTGCCTGTAATGCTCTTGGTCTCGCTCTCGTTTTCCTTCTCCAGGATGGCATGGATCTAGGGAGCGACCCCTGCAGCAGCCGCTCCAGCTCCGAGTCCAGTTCCAGCAAAGTGACTCCTTGCTCGGAATGCAAATCTTCCCCGTCGCCTACCAGCCTGGACTTGGCTGCTTTGGAGGACTCAGAGGAGGAGGAGGAGGAGGAGGAAGAAGAAGAAGGAAGAGAGGGGGAGGAGGTCGACGACGAGGACGACTTCCAGAAGTCCTCCGAGAGGAAAGTGATTGATGTGTGGAAGGAGGATGGGGACTATGCCCGCTGCCATGCCAAAACCACCCCTACCAGGAGGAGTTTAGCCCAAGAGCTGGTGGAGGTGAGGAGTACCTGCCTCACCCTCCCCACTGCCACCATGCCTCCCCCAGCTCCCAGCACTAATCCCCCTCCCCATCCCCTCCAGCCTCACCGTCACCTGCTGGACCTCAGGCACAATGCCAACATGGTGCGGTCCAGCCACCGGACTGGACACAAAGGGGGTGGGGGCTCCAGCAAAGCCCCCTGCCTCCAGAGAGCTCAGCAGGGAGATCCTTTGGAGAACTCCTTGGGAGGGAAAGCCTTGAAAGAGCAGGAGCCTCAGCTGCCCACTATGGACTGGGAAGCCCTGGAGAAACACCTGGCAGGATTGCAGTTCCAAGAACAGGAGCTCCGGAGCCAGAAGAGCAACTACACCTCTGTAAGTTGGTCTCTTTCCTTTTTCCCTTGCTCTTTTTTTTTTTTTTTTTTTTTTTTTGCTCCTTTTTACACATTCAGAGTAACAGAGATGACAAATAAAGTGTTAATGTTCGTGGAATTGTGCTGCTACTTAAGGAAAGCTGAGGGTGAGTCATTTCCCATGCAAGGGAAGGCATTGGATGATTATGTTTTTCCCATAGAAGGTAATTTCCAAAGGGCAGCTGCGATTACTTAGATTAGGATGGCTGGTTGCTTCCTTTTCTCTCTCCAAATATGTCCTGGTATTTGGGCTTGCAAGAAAACCAGACCTTGTGTGCATTAGTATGTTGTGTAGAGTAGAGAATGACTCCCCTGGATTCAGATTTAGAAAGGAAAGAGACCAGTGTTATTCCTTGTCCCTTTTGTTCTGCAAGAGAGAAGGAGTTGGTTGATCGGCCTGCCTTGGCCTTGAGGGGCTTTGATGGGTGACCTTTTCTGTGGGAAGGGAGGACAGGGCTGGGACAGTGGTCCTAAACTACTTCCTGTTTCTTATCAGAAGAACACCTGGCTGCATTCCGAAAAGCCAGACATGTGGGTGGCCTTAAGAGAGGGAGGAGAAGGAGGGGGGAAATGTAAGCAGGAATCTTAGCCAGCTGGTGCATGTCTCATTGTGAATTTGCCCTAGTGGAAGGGTTTGTGCTATCTAATGCATGTTTCCTGTCTTTCCTTTCTAAGGTACAGCAGAACTTGCAGACTTAGGTAGTTTAGAATGTTTATTTTTTTAACATGTGCTTTGTTCTACAAAAATTGCCTTGCTTAATCTGCTAACAGCTCTGCTAACATTGCATCACTTTTGCCTTGGGATGTGAAAATCTAGGGCCTTCAGCTCTTAGAGACTGGGTGTAACACTGGTTGACTTTAGGACATGATAAAGTAACTTCATTTTTCAGCATAATTGGCATTGCTGAGAAGGGCAAAGGAAAGGGGACTTGTCTGGTGTCTTCCCTGATGGATAGAGCCAGTGAAGATCTGTTCCATATCGCTGTCTGTTTAAATTTCCCTTTTTCCCTTTGCATCCAGGACACATTATCTATAAATACAGAATAGAAATGGAAGACATGATCTTCAGTAGATTTAAAGAGAGAAAGCTTTCTTTCAAGGAATGTTCTATTATCTAAAAATTTCTCTGTAAAAACAGATCAGATGCAAAGTCCAATAATAAAGTGCTATTATCCCAGCATTGGTAACTTCAATAATGTTAGATTCAACAGAGATGCTGATGACACTGCATTTTAAATATGCTGTACTTTTGGAGACAATATGTAATTTCAGGAGTATTTTGCCTGTAGATAAGAAATCAAGAGAGATAATCTGTAATGTCCAGCTTTGTATCTTGCTGGGACAGAAAAGTCTGATATTGTTCTCTAAAGCAAACAAAGTCTATTTTAGGCTTCAAAGTCTCTTTGGCGCCTGCTCTATGGACATTTTTTTGTGTGTTTTTTTTCACTTTTGCAAATCTTTCAGACTAGCAGACTAGCAGGTGTCAGGTAATGACTTGTGAGAAGATGTCCAATTCATGTTTCCTAACCCTCTAGTTAAATTAGATCTGCTTTGCCTGTCAACAAGCATTAATGTATTATCATTTGTTGTAAACAATCTGTAAATATATTTTCCAAAATGTGGCACTCTGAAGCTTACACAATGGATTACTAACACTCTTAATAAAATACAATTAAATGTGGTAATTTGACTTGAAGACTATAGTTTTACTTCCAAGTTTAAATGCTTCCCCAAGATTTTCTTTAAAACTTTAGAACTTGCTGATAGTCTTCTCATGTGACTTTAATTGATTGACATAGTACTAATATACTCCTATCTACTTGTCTATACCTTAAATTAGGTGAAACAGTACATCATAGGAGAACACTTTTTGAATCAAGATGTTTCAAATGGGCTAACTTAAAGAATACTACCCAAAATCAGGACCTGTGGGATTGAAATTTCAAAAATCTTCAGACCAGTGATATTGGCAAAGTTGTGGCCTCTGCAGTGTCACTACATTGCCACAATCAACTGCAGACACATGGTTGTCACTTCCAATGGTCTCTGTCAGCTTCCATAAGCAAAGTAAATATGGTAGCCAGCAGGAAGTTGGAATTATCTACAACTCTCATTGCTTTTTTTTTTTTAGTCATAGTCATAGTCATTCCAATTATAAGTTTAAGTAAGAGAAAGTCTCTGAAACAATGACTCAACAAATCATGAATTGTCTAGTTTTCTATTAATGTTTCTTCTTTGAAAACCATTTTTCTTTCTGGGCACTAAGGACCACATGAAAAGTAGAGAATTGGTTCACTTAATGACTGTGGCATTCACTTAAAGACTGTGGTGTTCTATTAATAACTGCAGCATTTGCTGAACGATCACTGCAAAAAAAAATATTATAAAATTGGGTTGGTCATATGATGACCCCTTAACAAACTGCACTACTTTTTTGTCTTTTTACGATCCTATAATCCATTTTTATCAGGATGGAGTCTTGGCAACTGAATCCAGTTGAGCGTTTACTGGCCGGATGCCCTTCCTGAGACCTACACAGAGTTCACAGCAGATATTTTGTCTTTACTCCCTGATAAAAAAATATCTTCACTGTCTAGGATTGAATTTTCAACCTTCCAAGTAGGAGCCGAGTGTCTTCACCTCTAGGCCAGTGCGCCACTCTTAACAATCTGCACCACTTACAACTGTAATTTCAGGCTCAATTAGGCTCATAAATTGGGGACTACCTTTATTTAATCAAATTGAATTTTTGTGTTAATATATTTCCAAATAATGAATGCCAGACATTGAGTCAAGACGAAAAATAGGTAATAGGCTCCCAGATTTTGCTGAATGCCAATTCCCATCACAGCAGACAGTGTTGTCTACTGAGTTTATACAATTAATTGCTAGCCTAACTTCACATGGCCATTGTTCTAAGACAGGAATGGGCAACCTGAGAATATTGCTAAACAATTGGGCCTAATATCCTCATCTTCATTCATTTTTACTTTTCTATCTTGCTGTGAAACTAAGGCTATAATCTGGCAGAGTGTGTAGTGTATACACAACCACTCTGATTTTTAAACTACAATATTTCACTTATGGCCAAAATACATCACTTGAGTTCTTGAATGAAATGTGGTATATAAATCTGATAACATAAGTATCTTAGTGTACTCCTTTCAAGGAGCAGCAGGAAGTTTTCAGTTTATCTAGACTCTATTTCAACTATGATTTTTTTTCTGGAAACTTTGGAGGGTTCATTAGTGATGCCAGTATAAAATAAGCTTTCATAAATATGCTAGAAATAACTCAGTTTAAAACAGATTCTGATGAAACCATTACCAATGCTGCTGACATGTATCTTACAACTATTCTTCAGCTAAATCCTTTATTTATTTATTTATTTATTTATTTATTTATTTATTTATGAGACTTATATACCGCTTTAAGTGCAAGCACTCTCTAAGCTGTGTATACCAGTAAGCAATGTATATATATTTTACATTGCCCCCAACAATCTGGGTCCTCATTTTACCTACCTCGGAAGGATGGAAGGCTGAGTCAACCTTGAGCCGGTGAGATTTGAACCGCTGACCTGCTGAAAACAGTCAGCTAAAGTGGCCTGCAGTACTGCACTCTAACTGCTGCACCACCTCGGCTCTTTATGACAATCCAAATAAGATTTGCTTCTTCCTGTTTATTATCCCAATTTTTTGGTTGCTTGTTAAGCTCCATTATGTTGACTTATTGCTTGATTTTTATATTTCTTATTGGTATACCACCCAATAGCATCAATAAAAGACTAATAAATTACTCAACTGTACTTAAATGATTAGCCTCTATTTCACACTTCATCTGAAATAACTTCATTTATTTAGGTTCTTTAACAATCTTGTCAAAACTAAAGAAACTCAGAACTGACTTGACACATTGTGCTAAGCCACGGGTGTCAAACTTACCACGTCTTGTGACATGTCGTGACATATCACGACTCTTTTTGCATTGCCAGCAATGGGGAAGGCGTGGCTTCGGTATGATGAAACCAGCCTGTGGGATGACAAGTTGACACCCCTGTGCTAAGCAGTGGTATTCAAACTACATTGTTAGATCCCAGAACATAACTAAGCCAAAACTATATAAAACTACCGTACTTACGGCTTAATGTGATGTATAAAGCCAGATAGTGGCTTGTGTGTCATCACAATATGTTTTTATTAGCATTTGTGCCATCATGCATGGGAGCTGAAAGTCGGAAGGTTAGAATGATAGGAAAACTGTTTTCAGACCACTGTGCAGATCAGCATCCAAGGCTGTGAAATGTGATGGAAAAAAGACAATTACTACTTAAAAGTGAGAGATAAAGATGCAAATAACCAAGTGATGCTGTCAAGGCCTTCCCCCAGTATCTGGAACTGGGAATAGAAAAGGCTGAGACCTCTTAAGCCAATCCGGTATGGAGATATTTCATCTTTAATACTAAATGCAGTTGCACTTCACTCTTCAGGATGGTGTATAATTTGGGGGGGGGGTTACAACTCCTACTCAAAGAGCAGTTGGCAGCTGTGGCAGGTCTATGATAACTCGCCACAGCCAACTCACCACAGGACAATTCGCCATGGCCACAAGACAACTCGCCATTGGACAAGAGTTACACTAATATCAAAGAAATATTGGAATAGAATCATTGAAGAAAGGATATCAAAGGAGGGGCAAAATGCTATATGAATGACAAAAATTAAAGTAATGTTTTAACTATTTTAAATAAATCGAATTGTTGAATTTTCCTGCAGTGAGTTGGCCGTGGCAAGTTGGCTATGGCAAGTTGGTTGTGGCAAATTGTCCCATTCCAGCTGTGGCCAGGGAGTCTTTCACACAAATTCAGAGGTGTTCATCGTGTGCCATTTGCCCTCATACTTGGCAAGGAGAACCTTAAAATGGTGATTTATCTTTGGTCATTTGGACTATTGCAATGCACTG